TTTTTTTGGTGAGTGCTGGTGAATGGGTGGGGGGGGGGGGGGGGGGGTATATTGGTTTAGTTTTAAAAAGAAAATACAAATGCGTTATATTTGACTTGGCGTATAGTCTGCAAATATAGAAATGGACTGTGAATTGCTGGTCAGAATAATAATTTTTTTTTAGTCTTTTAATCGTAATTTTTCACGCAGGTATTCCCACTGACGAGGAGCAGGCAACTGGGCTGGAGAAGAAGATTATGAATGCTATGAAAGCAGGCTCAGTGTGTATTATGATCTGTCAGAAAGCTATCAAACGAAATGCTTATGCTTGCATCAAATCTCAGTTTCAATGCAAAGGACAAATTCACCCAAAAGTGAAATTCTGTCATTATTTACTCCCCCTCATGTTGATCCAAACCTGCATGCTGTTTAATTTCCTCTCAAAAAATGATTGTTGAAGAATATTTACATAGGTTTGTTTTCTATTAAACAGCTTGAAAGGTCATGTCTCTAGGACTCTAAAGAAGACAAGTTGTCAATTTGGCTTTAAAATATGGTGCATTTTAATGGCCTCGTGTTAGGTTTAATGTCAATGTCATTATGAAATTACATTATGGTTCTCACTTGCAGAAAGCCATTGTGACAAAATGTCATTGATGTCAAATTTAATGGGTGCCCTATTTGATATGAACATGCAGGATACGTTAATCTTGAACATAATAAAAATGAATTTATTTTTCTATTATGGAAATGAGCTGCATGAAGGTTAATTTTTATGTGCGTTCCACAAAAATTACAGGTTTGAAATGACATGAGGGATGATTCAATGGCAGAGTTTTGAGTTTTGGTTAACTACTCATTTACATTTATGCATTTGACAGATGTTTTTATCTGAAGCGACATTTCAAACGAATTCCAGAGTATACATTTTATTGGGTCATGCTTTACCTGGCAATCGAACCTGTGACTTTGGTGTTGTCAACAGGTTCTAGTCCTTTAAAAGACATTTTAAACAAATTCCAGGATATATATATATATATTTTTAGGTCATTCTTTCCATGGGAATCGAGCCCATGACCTTGGCATTGCTAGAAACATGCCATACAGGGATTCTAGTCCTTTTAAAGGGGTAGTTCACCCAAAAATGAAAATTAGCCCATGATTTACTTGCCCTCAAGCCATCCTAGGTGTATGTGACTTTCTTCTTTCAGACGAATACAATCAGAGTTCTTATTAAAAAAATGTCCTGGCTCTTCCAAGCTTTATAATGGCAGGGAATGGGGGTTGAGATTCAATAGTCCAATAGAAGTCCAAAAAAGTGCATCCATCCATCAATCTTCTGCAATGCCACTCTCTCATGAACACACGTATGACATTTAGCGGAAGCTATAGATTATGGTTTATAAACATTTAAATATGGATATTTTTCTTGCACGAAAGCATCGATTCGTTTCACGGGGCCTTTATACACCCCCAGGGCCTTGTGGAGCACTTTTATGATGGATGGACGCAGTTTATTGGACTATTGAATCTCAACAGCCATTCCCTGCCATTATAAAGCTTGGTAGAGCCAGGACATTTTTTTAATAGAACTCTGATTGTATTTGTCTGAAAGAAGAAAGTCATATACACCTAGGATGGCTTGAGGGTGAGTAAATCATGGGCTAATTTTCATTTTTGGGTGAACTACCCCTTTAAAGCACATTTCAAACAAATTCTCCAAAATGACTGACTGATATCATGTTCTTCCATTTCCCAGGATCCTTTCAACATGCTGAAGCCCAAGGAGTATGCTGGGTCAAAGTCGGACCCTCATCTTGTACCTTCCATCACCAACAAAAGAATTGTTGGCTGTGTCTGTAAGTGCAAACTCTTGATTCTAGGTACTTGATGTCATAGTTCATTTTGTTAGAGGTTGTATTAAGCACATGTATGTGTGTCTGTCCAGGTGAGGAGGACAACACTGCTGTGGTCTGGTTCTGGCTCCATGAGGGTGAAGCCCAGCGCTGTCCTTCATGCGGCTCTCATTACAAGCTTGTGCCTCATGAGCTTCCTCACTGATCCTGCTGCCTCCACCGCAGTGTTGCATCCCAGAATTCCAGAGACGTCTTGACCTCATTCATGTTTGTCTTATTGCAAGAAGTACAGGAGATGTAACCAGTCCTCCTGGTGTGGGACACAATATTTTAACAATTCCTAAAAAAAACAAAAAAAAACAGTTTACTTAAATTATTGGAGTATAGTTTTTGAGTTTGGTCCGGTTACACCTAATAAACATGCTTACTCTGACTTTGGCTCTTGTGTTTTAATTCAGGTTCATTAAATTCTGGTCAAAGGTCTAGACATGCCTGACTGTATTTGTTTCTGATGACCCTAAAAACATTTTAATTTAATGCTTGAAATTAGTTTTAAGAGAAACAAATTGTGCCATGTGTATGAATTTCTTTACAAAGCTAATATTTTAATTTGAATAATGGTTGTTTAATAGTTTCAATGACTTTTCTATTATAAAATGTGGAAAATGGAAATAAAGTGTGCAAGCCGGTGTTGTTTTACTATTATAGTATAAATTAATTTGGAGTCGGGTTTTATTTGAATGTTTTCATGTTTCATTCTAACTTTAGTTAAGAAATTTTGTTGTAGTGTAGTAATTTCATTCCGTGCTTTGTCGTCTTTATTTTTTGTATTTCTATCATTTAGATTTAATACATTTTTCAGTTTTAGTCATTTTAGTACTTAAACTTGTAACCTTTTTAATTTCAGTTGGTTGCCAAGGCATCATTTCTAATATAGGTATTTTAAATAAAAGTTTCCCCATATTTTATTTCAATAAATGAGAAGTATTTGTAATTTGTAGTGTTTTTTTATTTAATTTTTTTAATGATTAACAACATGACCCAAATTTTGGACTGGTGTTAGTAAATAACAATTTGGTCCCTCTGTAAATTCTCTTTGCCACCGTGAAATCTTCTCAGTCTCCTAAAGTGTAAATACGGCCAGGAAGTAAGAAAAGGCAGACTGTGAAAGCGAAGAAATGCAACACAGAGACATTTGAGGGAGATCTTATTTCCTGTGCATTGCTCTATTGAGTTGTTAGACATTGTGGTGCTGTGAAGAAAAATTTCACTGCATATATTTTGTTCCCCCTAGAGTATCTTCCAGAACTGGCAGATTAAAGGTGTAGTTCACCCAAAAATAAAAGGTTGTTGAAAATGTACTCACCCTCTGGCCATCCAAGATGCAGATGAGTTTGTTTGTTCATCAGAACAGATTTGGAGCATTACATCACTTGCTCACCAATGGATCCTCTGCAGTGAATGGGTGCCGTCAGAATGAGAGTCCAAACAGCTGATAAAAACATCACAATTATCATCACAAGTAATCCACACATTTGTTTAAAAAAACCATAATAATGCTTTCTCCAGTAAAAAAAGTCCTCCAAAGAAAGAGTTTTTCTTCACAGGAGTCCACGTTAACTGATGTAATTGATGGACTGGAATGGTGTGGATTATTGTGATGTTTTTATCAGCCGTTTGGACTCTCATTCTGACAGCAACATGATGCACCGAGATTTTTCAGTACACTCAACAACTGTCTTAATAAATGATTCATGCTGCAATGCATGCTGGGTGCTCACAAGCCCTTATGAAAACAGCAATGTAGGTCGGTATAAGATGAACCAAACAGTGATCAGAGAGTCCTAAAGCTGCCCGTGGAACAGAGTGATATGCATTCTTTATTGTGGTGTAACAGTGATCCAATATATTACTGTCTCTGGTAGTACATGTGATGTGCTGTCTGTATTTTGGCAGTTCACGGGAGAGTTTCTGTAAAGCGGAGCTCACGTGTGCTTGCGGAGGAATGTAAACACTGACGAGAATGAATGAGCAAAACTCCTGCGGCGAGTAGAAAGGCTTACAGTTAATGAAGAGCACTTCTAGATCTGAACAGCACATCTTCTTTAACACAGTTACATCTGTACATCACCTCTCATTGATTGATGAAGTTCAACATGTGTTTTTATGTAGATTATATGCAAAGTAATTATTGGAATGACAATGGAACTATAGCTTGCTACATAC